GGTGTTTCCATTATGGAGACACTAAAAAAAGCCATGGCTGCTGCCAAGGGAAAATTTGCAAGTATTACTTTGCTAATAATCAACACAAGTTCTTTCAAGCATACAGCTACTAGTTATCTTCCACAACACAAATGCAGGCTCAAACTACATTTTAATAAGAACACAGAGATGTGGCCAGACTAAATATTCTTGACTGTCCCATGGCAGCTGCTAAGAGATCCAGTAGGATGCATGAAAATGCATGAACACTCCCCCTCCCACTATTTTTGCTTAGAAAGGTTTAAGATTACATGAGAAACCATCAACTTTCTGCCCAAAATCTTAAATGAGAAATGTATTTCTGAGGTAAGAATTAATTATTTATTCATGTACAGGTCTGGGAAAGAGGCTTAACTCTGAGGCTAAATTGTAAGGAGTCAAGAAGTGTTTTGTACTTGCTTCAGTCCAGCTTTCACAGGATTAGAGCAGGAGACTGCTAAAAATCACTTAAGGGGAAGAAAGTAAAAATTATATAGGTGCACTTATTGTATCAGCAAGCAAAAAAAACCAACCCAAAACACTGTAAATATTTAGATGTTGGAAGTGGCTTTGTATTTTTATGTGTAGCATTAGAAAAAGTAGTATCCTCTACCTTAGGCCTGTGCACTCATCCCCATGGTGTGGACACAAGGCACAATTATTCAGAATTACTTCTGTTCTTTGGTCAATGATGTGCTTCCCGTTGTGCAGGTATCTTGATTTATATGTGAGTATTTGACATAATGTGCAGCATTGGTAAGAGTTATGACTATCTCTGGGCTTATTAAAGACAGAGAAGAAATTAGTCTGAAGGACAGGTTTATTAAGAAAATGAATATGCTTTACGTAAAAAAAGAATTTTTATAGTGCCTGCTTTAGCTCATCCTCTGTCAATTTAGCTTATAAAAACAGATAACTCTTTACTATAGTCAGGAAATTTATTTCTGTAGTTTTCAAAATTCCTTTTCTACCAAGCATTTTAAAGCCTGAAATTGAGTTCTAACAACCTTCATTAAAGCTGTAGAATATTATCTGCAGTGGAAGAGAATGAGGCCAGAACTGTTTGCATCCAGGATTTCAACGCAGATTTGCAAAGCACCCCTGGAAGCTCTGGCAGCATTTCCAAGTATTTCTTTAAATAACAGCACTCTGAAATAATTTCCTTATAGAAAAGAATAAAAATGGAACAAATACTGGTTACTCTGTGCATTAACTTCTCCTAGTGGCTCTAGTACCATTTTTGGAGAATACACACCAGCCCAATGTTGCTCAGGTTACAGCACCTCATCTTCTATGTTGTCTTCTCAAAATCAACTGAGTAACTGAGGTAGGTAGTGATGTTTTCTTTTAGAAGTGAGTGGTACAGCATTGTTCTTGACCAAACCATATAAAAAGAAAACCACTGCTGAAACACATGGAAGATCTCAGTTTTAGTGATGAGATTAAGAGTGTCCATCTGGACAGGCCAGGAGTCTAAACTAGGCTACCATTTCCATTCAATAATCTTACCACTCTGAGACATTGAGTAACCTAGTGTATTTTTATTAGGTAAATGGAAGCAGAGGTTAATGAACATTTATTGGACCAACTTAACACCTTGAAATCACAGGCATCAGTCAGACTGAGAGGCAGCATACTGACAAGATCAAGTTTTCTTTACAAATCTATGAGCCCCTGTACAAAAATAAAGTATAAAAGGGGCAAACAGAAACATTTGTTTCTTCCCAATCCCAGGGCTGCTTCTGAGGTCACATTCAGCATAAATTTAGAGAAGTCCATGAGGCATGCTCTAAATTATGCAGTGATATTTACAGTACCAGGAGGACCTTTCTCCACTTGGAGATTGAAAAAAAATAAAAAAATTGTAACATCAGCTTTGCACCTGCACGAGCCTTCCCTATGCAGGTGAAGTTTCCAGCTCAATTTCTGCAGCCTTTTGCCCTCTATGTACCACACAAACAACAGAGACACTTCAGAAGGGTTTGAGCAGGGTGGGAGGACTGGACAGACTGAGAAGTCCTGGGCTTGCTCTGTCTGGAACTGTGTTGAAATCTGCTCATGGAGCTCACTGTGTGCTGTGGATCTGTTGAACTTAAAGCCTAGGAGGGGTTTCCAATTTAATCTTTTGCAACTGAAGGTTCACACACGGAAAACAGACTGTGGTAAAGAGGAGGAAAGACAGGATGCTAACTATGTGCTTTACAGTTTTTGTCTCTTGATAAAAGGTTATACAGTGACAACAAAAGAAACAAAGCTCTCCAGGTCCATCTTTCTACTGTGTAGCATTAACTGAATGGTAATTCCACTTAAGAGAAGGAAAGGTATTACATCAAATCACTACTTATTGTCATCTACATAAGGCAGAAGCACCCTCATGGGCCTTGTGAGATTTCTTTCCTTACGAGCTGGATACACAGAAACTCCAAGAAATTCACATGAACAGAGTCAAAAGTGTGTAGTTAAAACATTTATGATGGACTATACTTGAATTATCAAAATTACTTTACCTGTTTAATGCGATAAACATTTGAGATGAAAAACGTGTCACTGAAGTCAGACACCAATGCTCACCAGAGAAGTTTGTATTTCTAACATCAGAAACACTCCACTGCTAGATTTTCATCTTCCCATCTTTGTGCTTTGCTGGGAAAAGAGGTAGTTCTGAGAGTGAATGAACCTGTCACTTCCACGAGCTCGGCCAGTGTGGACTCACCACTGCAACAGCTGCCTACAGGACACCAGCTACGGTTCACCCAGGACTAAACGACACAACCACTTGAAAAATTACCTCTTACTCACTAAATAATTCACAGTTTGCACCATCCCCTTCTTCTGGGGCTAAACCCAGAACAGATGAGCACCTACAACTGCTCTGACAGCTCCCTCTTGTTTCCCTCTTGTGCATGTGAGGCCCACGCTGACTCCATCCAGTACTTGCCACAAAACTACAAACCCAAGGGACTCGGGCACAGCTCTTGTTTTGGGATGCAGCCACAGAACTGTGATTCCAGCTGTGGCATTAAGGGCATTCAGCAGCTGGGGTAAAGTGATGGATGAACTTCCCTTCTGTGGGCTGCAAGCCGGGCTGTGAATGCTGCAGGGAACAAACACCTTTGCCTGCCCTGGCTGGATGGGAGAAGGCACAGCCAGACTGAGATTTCAGCTGTGGGTTTTACAAGAATTGTAAACAGATTTGACCACACAACTTGTAGAAGGAGTTGGCAGGAGAAAATTATCAACAGAATTACCCCTGTGAGAAAGGTACAACCTTGAGAAGCTTTTTCTGATTGCACGTGCAATGGTCCCAAACAACTGGAACAGCCCACAGAACAATTCCAGCTGAAAGTTCAACTTTGAGGAAAAATCCTGTATCACTCTATCTTTTCAATATCAACACTAAAATTCATACTATGCAACAGCACAGCCAACCAAACTTTGAGGAGAAGACATTTTAAGGAACAGTGTATTTCTGACACCTAAAAAGAGGCAGCAATGCCAGCTGCCTTTAACCATTTTCAGAGAAAATGCAAATCATGTGGGCCAGCGAGAGCATGAAGAAGGGAAATGAAGTGCAAGGTCAATCCATGGTTACACTTTTTTAATTGGCTCTGCCCTAATTCCAACTTTGTGGAAGGAAGCCTGTGCTGACCCTGTGCAGAGCCCCTGGGACAGACTGCAGGCTCTGCCCCTACAAAGGCTTCCCTTACAGACTTTAACTCACTTCCTCACTGCACGAGTCACTGATTTGCTCTTGAAACTCCCTGTGATGAAATGAAGGACCCAAAAGCATTTAATTGTTGAACACACAAAAGGAAGTATATTTAAAATAAAAAAAATTGGTCAGACTGTAGAGTCAATTACCATTTTTAAATGAATTTACAGGGCTGTTGTAGATGAGTCTTTTGGAATAGTCAGTTTATCGCAATGTCTAAACTGGTTTCTTCATTGCACGGTATTTTCTTTTAAAATGTGTGCATCTTTAAACAATTACATACATATTAAAAATCAGCATTTCTTTGCTTCAACTTAATTAAAACGTTAATACTCTCAGACAACACAGATCTGAAATGGTGAAACCAGTAATTGCCCCCTCCCACCTTACAACAAATTAAATTGAGACAAAATTACAAACACATTTCACTACATGATTATTATTAATAAAAATCGGTTTTTCTTTTTTTTTTTTTTTTTTTTTTTT